ACCCACACCCACACCCACACCCACACCCACACCCACACCCACACCCACACACACCCACACCCACACCCACACCCACACCCACACCCACACCCACACACACCCACACCCACACCAACACACACCCACACCCCACACTGGCGTTCACCGGTACACTGATAACACTGACAGTGACTGCTTCGGTTGCAGTGTCTGCACCGACATGGTGTTCACTGAATCAGTGCATACACTGACACCGACTGCGCTTGTTGCACTGATGCACACTGAAACACTGACGTACTGATACTGTTTTCCATTGACTAGAATTTATACACAGAAGACGACGACATCCTCTGCCTGTAATATGTAGATGAACAGAAAATTTTCATTGAATAGAAGCATATCCGCTCAATAGTTTGGTTTCTTGGTTGAGATAAGCTACATGCACTTTTACATACATACACTTTTTTCACTATTGCATAAAAAAGAGTAAATAAAGCAAAAAATTTATGTAATCGTAACGATACAATTTGTTTTACAAAGTCCACATAAATCTTAAGAAACTTTGATCTTCTTTAAATGAATCTGGTTGAGTCATAAAATACCGTAGTTATGTGTCAATATTAGAATTATAAGTGACGTATTACGTTAAAATTGACTTTATTATTCAAAATTATAGATTACTTAAATGAATCCTATTTTTTGGAGGAATAGGTATGGTCATTTCACTAATTTCGTTGATAATTATAGATAAAGTCACGAGCAGTGCATACTTTGATAGAATCGGTAACTTGATACTTCAGTGAGCACCACTGTTCCAGTAAACCCTGACATCAGTGCAGTCAGTGTCAGTGTATGCACTGGCTCAGTGAACACCATGTCGGTGTATGCACTGATTCAGTGAACACCAGTCTCAGTGGCACACTGTCAGTAATTCACTGTTTTCACCGAAACTGCACATCCCTAGTTACAGGCCTTCCGTGTAGGCTCTAAAAACCCGGTCAGGAGTCGTCTTGGTGTCTGTGGCACACGACCAGGCTTATTCAGACTCCTTGATATATCTCTCGGGGGGAGGGTATAAATGATATGAGTCTGTCCTGTGCGTGCATGATCGTACTGCTCGCCACGGCTCCACCAGGATGGTTCCTGGTCGCGCGCGCGCGAATAGAATAGACATTCATTTCATCAATTCAATGCAATTTATTTGAAAGGAAAGGAAAGAAAAAAATAATCCGTCGTTTTAAGTCTATTCAATTGAAAAGCGTTGAACACGATTATTGCCGCCCAAGCCACCATCGACGACATAGAGATTGCCTTGTTGATCGAAGGACAAACCTCGGAGATAGCGAAGCTGATTTGCTCCTTCTTCGTAACCATTTCCATCCACAATGACAGTGCCCTGTTTCGCACCTTTAGGCCAACGCATTACTCGTTTATTCTCCGAGTCTGCCACATAGATGGTACCCGATGTATCGACGAACAGTCCGTAAGGATTCGACAATTGTGTCAGAGCATTCCCTTGGCCTTGACCTCCAACGACGACAATTCCTTCTTTTGCATCTTTATTCCATTTCATTACACGATGATTTTTGTTGTCTGACACGTAGACAGTCTGTTGTTGATCGACAAAGATGTAGGTCGGAAAGTTGAGTTGATTGGAACCAGCACCTTTGCCATTGTCACCAGCCACGGGAGTTCCATTCTTGTCTCCTATTTGATATCGTCTTACTTGATCTTTGTGGGTGTCAGAGATGTAGAGATATCTCTGATCATCCATGGCCAATCCCCAACAACGAATGTTGTCAATGAGGATTTCTCCTTGAGTTGTACCATTACGACGAGACCATCGAACGACTTGTCGATTGTCCCGGTCACAAATAATGAGACTATCCGTCTCTTTGTCAATCAATACATCGGTTGGTAGATTCAAGTGATCCAATTGATTTCCTTGGCCATTGCCACCAGCCACTACTTGTCCATTCGTATCACCCATCTTCCATTGGGTGATACGATGATTCCAGAAATCAGCGATGACTATCGTTTGATCATCATCAACGAAGAGACCTTCAGGATAGTAGAGTCGATTGGTGGCACTACCCCATCCATGGCCTCCAGCAACAGTCACTCCCTTCTGTACCCATCGGGCATCAACTGGAATATTGGGAATTACTACAATGAACGAAAAAGAAAAGGAATCGTCGTTGTCGAAGGAAGCTCGTCTCTCGTGGGAGTAAGCGCTACAAATACGACATTCATCTTTGAGAATGCTCGTTTCGCAGATAAAAATTGAGAAGTCTTTTCCTAGTTTCTTATGAGAAAAAAGGATTTGGTAACGATTCTTACATCTATGTTACTTCTAGTTCTTGCCAAGATCTTTTTGATCATAAAAATAACATCTGGAGATTGTTGTAAGGAGACTCTCCAAGAAAGAATAATGCTAATTCTATGAAAGCTTTTGATAGAAAAACATAAGGGCCTGAGGATTTTTTTCAGAATTGCAAGAATTCAGAATCTTTTTGGTAGAATGATCATTTATATGAACATCAGAGAAGATTCTATCTGTATCTTGGGAGAAGAATATCGAATCGTTGAACAACAAAATATCAAACCTAATCCCTATGTTTTTTAGGAAACCTTAAGGATACGCGATTTTCTGTATGATGAATGTAGACCTGCCGAGGAATCTCCTAAGTATTTGCATAGAGAATGCCGGTGAAATATTATAAGACTTTTGATAAGTTATGTCAAGCTGTTCGAAGAACAACCGTGATGTGCTCTGAGTAAGATCATGACAAGGTTTGGATACAGGCGAAATTGAACAAAGTTGAGAGGATTCCACGCGAATCTATGTAATCTGAGAGGGCTTCTACTTTTGAAAATGCTGAAAAGATGGATGTCAATCCGAACGGAGCTCTCCAGTGACAAACATTGGGATCTATGGATTTTATGGACTTTGTAATGGGCAATGATAATGGGATAGGCAGAAAGTGTTCTAAAATGCTATTTTTAACTTTTGATGAACACCATCTTCAAACCATTGTAATAGCGTCCTCGAAGAGAATCCTGGTGACTAAATAAGATACTTTGCCAAAACCTCAAAATCTAAAAATAATGAGTATCTTCTATGAGGATCATGTTATAATCCTTATGTAGTACTTGTTCTGACAATGGAGGTGTGTGTATTGTTGAGCGAAAAAATGGCACATGTTCGGGTCAAATGAAAGCTCTCACCGAGAAACTAACAGGGTTAAAATATTAGCTGCTGTTGCCTTGCCTAGAGGGAGATACGTAACTTTTAAATCTAGGTATAAAAATGAATCCGGAAAGGTTTTCTCCACTATTATAAGGATAAAACATAGTGTTGTTGGGGCCGATTCTAGGGTTTGTAGGGACCCTCTTTCATATGACCCGAACAACACCAT